AGATTTTTTAGTCTTGTTTCTAGTCTAAATATCTAAAATTTCTTATATCAAGAAGCATTTTCTAAACAAGCAAAACATTTTGTCTTGTTTTGAGAAATAATATGCCAATATTAAGTGAGTTTTTACTTAAAACAAGCTAAATAATCTGCCAATAGGGTAAGCAAATAAATCTTGTTTTTTCTTTTGACGTAAGATTATTTTGTTTACCCCATTGGCAGATTATTTTGCTGGTTTTAAGGAAAAACTCACTTAATATTGGCATATTATTTCTTAAAACAAGGCAATATGTTTTGCTTGTCTAGAAAACTCTTCTTGATTTAGGAATTTTTAGATATTTGGACTAGAAACAAGACAAAAAAATCTAAGTAAGAAAAGCATTTTTTGCAGTGTGTAAACTGAATTCATTATTACTGTAATAAATAATGCTTCAATTCACTCAGAAATAACGGTACAAATCTGCAGAGATGTATAGTAACGAAGTAGAACTACTTCACTACTGTACTTAAGTACTAAAAGGCAGTATCTGTACTTTACTGGAGTATTATTTTTTTCTCCTACTTCCACTTTTACTTAAGTACATATTTTACATGAGTTTAATACTTTTACTCCGATAGATTTTTTTATGTGCTGCATCGTTACTCGTTACTAGGGGTGTCAAAATGATCGATATCAGTTCAGTAATAGGTCATACCCGGTTATTACGTGATGACGTCATTTATCTCCTATGCGCGATGTCGCAATACTATGGCGGAGGACGGAGGCGCGAGGGCGAGGCGGCACAGCATACCAGCCGCTAGTGTACTATTAGGGAGAAACGTTGTAAAACTTCACCTCTGTCTATCTCTCGCTCTCTCACTTTGGACATTTGACCCGCTGGCCAGTTTGTAAGGTAACTTTTCCTCTCTTCTTAGCTGTTAAAGCTGTGGATCCAGACATAAGCGTGCCAAGTTTTCTCCACTGTGTCTATTACCTGTGATAATCGCGTATTCTTCCCGCCATGGGTGAACAGCGCTTATATTTCTAAAGCCCTTTCTGTTGAGGACAATAACCAATCATAGCCGTGTAAGACCCGCCTGTCAGCGCTCAAAAAGCAGGCGGGATAATATTGACATGAGTTTATTAGCTGTAAATGCTCGTGCTGTCTTCTGTGCATGAGTTTTGTTTGATACATCCAGGACGAGTGTTTTCTTTGAGCAGGTCAAATTAAGGGCACAGTTCGTATTTCTGACTGCTGTACTATTAAAGGACAAAATTTTATTACAAAAACCCCTTCAACTGTCACACCAAGACAAAAGCAATAGAATTTCTTTTTTGATTGCATTTCTTAACTCCAAATGTCGCTAGTTAACACAATCAGTGCATTTTTATTCAACACATCACATTATTTCTAAAATATCAGCCTCTACCAAATGGTTGAGATGTTGGTTTATGGTAAAAGTACCAGAATTAATAAATATACTACAGAAAATATGAACTGTAAGACCAATTTCATTAAAAACATAATAAAAATAAATAAAAATTATTACTAAATCATAGCCATAAGCCATAAAATATTTCAGATTTTCATTTAACACAGTAATATACACATTTTCCTGTTTTTTTTTTTTACAATAAAATCAAAATCAATTGAATTTGTGAAGCAGGATTTAGTTTGCTTGTTTAGTTTAAAGCTTTTTATTTTAAAGCAATCAAACTTTAAAACTCCCAAAGTGTGAGTGTGTCTTTGTGTGTGTGTGAGTGAGAGTGAATAATGTGTAAGAGAAAACAACAGTGTGATTGTACCTGTGTGTGCGTCTGTGTGTGTGTGTGTGTGTGTGTGTGCGTGTGTGTGTGTGTAAGAGAGAGTGTAAAAACAATTGCAACCTATGTAATGTCCCCACAGTTCACAAAAATGAGTGTGTGAGAGAGAGAGAGAGAGAGAGAGAGAGAGAGAGAGAGAGAGAGAGAGAGAACCGTGTGTGTGAGAGTGTATGAATGTCTGAGAGTGGGGAGAGAGTGTACATTTAGGTGTGTGCAGGGCAGTGTGTGTGTGTGTGTGTGTGTGTGTGTGTGTGTGTGAGAGAGAGAGAGAGAGAGTATGTATGTGAGTGAACATGCTGAATTATCTCATCAGTGAAGGCATTTTCTGGTAAAAGGGCCTGACGATGTGAGCTCTTGTACCATAGAAACTATTTACAGAGAAAAACAGTAGCATAAGCCATGTTTCTTTTCGTTCTGCTTAATCAAGTACCCCAAAAAGATTTTTAAAATAAACAAAACAATTAGTGTATTTTGACTGCTTTCTTTAATAACTACATTACACAATACTTGTACTTTTACTTTCAGTACTTGAGTAGTAAATTTTGAAATAAACTACTTGTAATACTTAAGTACAAAAAATGTTGAATACTTTTGTACTTCCACTTAAGTATGGTGCTTAAACAGCACTTCTACTTCTACTCAAGTCAATTTTTGATAAAGCACTTGTACTTTTACTTAAGTATGGGTCTCTAGTACTTTATACATCTCTGCAAATCTGTCACTGGGGTGTCAGTTATTCTGCTTTGAAAATGTGCGTTACGTGTCAGAATAGCTGTCTTTGTTTTAGTTTTTTAACACGCCCACTGCCACTTTAGCCAATTATATTTCAGCACCCTGGGTAACATTCATGGAAAACAGCGTATTTCATTCATTTAGTCAGGAAGGCCTTTCAAATCATGCGTACATGACCGAAATGGGACCTCCGATGGACAGTAGCAGACTCTGAAATAAGACGCAGATTCAGAGTTCCACATAAGCCATTCAGACGCAGAGAATAGTGCACTCACTGCACTTAAGCGAAATGGTAAGGTTTATAATCTAACTAATGCATATTAAACCTCTTTAACATTATTACATGTACATGCGTAGAGTGCACAGAGTCACAGTTCTAAAGTTCAGTCTCAGATAGTTTACTTTAGTTTCAAGATCTGCTGCTGCTTTCATAGTATGGCAATAAATGTCTAGTAACTTTGTGTTAAACTTGCATAATGCACCTTTAAGGTACTATAAGATACACATTTGAACTTTTGAGGTATCAAAATGTACCTTTAGGAACAAAAATGTACCTTTTGAAAAGGTACCGCGCCAGTAACAGATTTTGTACCTTTATTTCTGAGAGTTTAGGGAACCTTTAAATCTATTCTAATAAATTCTGTTAGAACAGAGTTAACAGTAACAGTAACACTTTGTTCTTCAGCTTAAGATGCTAATGTCAAACTAGACACCACATGGGCCTGTCTAAAACAGACTTTTATGTATTTTTGTCATATTCTAGTTTTGAGAAATTCACTGAACAATCCAAAACAAGGTCACTGCAGTTCGTAACTTTTTGATTTAGTGGCTAATTGCTATGAATTTGTACAGTTGGGTTTAGAGGCAGGTGCCTCGTGCCACGCCTTCTTTTTAAAATAGAACACTTTTATACGATTGAACTCATACGTATTAGCCACTAAAGTAACAAAACGTAAAATAGTTACATTTCCTCATGAGATCAGGCTGAACAATCGAGTTGACAAATCGTCACCTAGGAAATATAAGGTTATATTTGCATTCTGAATGATTCTGAGATTTTTGCATTCCATATAGTAAACAGTACGTGTGTAACATTTGTTTTTTAAATAAAAAGTATCAAAATGTAAACAACTTTAAAAAAAAAAAAACATCCCATAATGTAGTTAAGTTGTCATTTAATAAGAATATGTCAATAATTCAATTTTGACAAAAAATGTCAGATAGAACCTTATAATTCTAAGGTACGAAATAAGTAATCTGCTGTTTACTGTGTATTTTAAATATTTTGTGGAAATAAGAGAAAAAAAAGTTACATGCTTTAATGCCTTCCAGATTTCCATTTTTTTATTTATTTTTTTGCCAGAAGTCAAAGTCACTTGCGTATTCTGTCAGTGTTTTAAAGGTTGTCATGCCTATTTACAGTATTAATACTGAAATTACAACTAATACAGAAATTAGATATTTCATGCAAATGTGTATTTCACTTAGTAAACAAACAAAAAACATGAAAAATTAGACTTGAAATTGAAGTTATTATTCGGGTATTATTATTCTTTTTAAGTTAATATTTTCAACACTGAATGTCCTTAAATACAAGTTAAAAATATTATTTTACAAACCTTTAACAAATCTTTATAAATGTCTTGTTTTTGAAAATGTATGAACACAATTCCATTAAAAGATTTATCTTTTTTTTATTTTTTTAAGTTTGCCATTTTACAATTTGAGTGTTGAAAACAGATTGAGGTCATGTTTTTGATTTAAAGCAAATAGCTTTATGGATATTCTGATATGTTAGGACATTATCTTTAATATGGACTTTCTCTGTGAATGGTTACAAAGTTTTGGCTTATCAGTGTATATTGTAAAATCAGTAAAATAGTTTGAAGTTAAGCAATCATACATGAAGGACTGATTAGTTTGAGACCAACTGTTGTTTTGTGTTTAAAAATCTATAAATTACTGAAAAAATGTCCTTCACTTTTCCATACAATGTGCAATAGGGCTGAACAGCAAACATTGAAAGATACAACAAACACTATAACACAGGTGAAACAATGACAAAAAAATTAAGTACGCTTATTTATGTCTTCATGCTTTACTGGTTGCATGCAAACTATAGGATACAGATAAAAAGGTGTGTTTTGATGATTACCATAACGTTAAAAGTGTTAATATTAATATTACTAATTAATATGAAATTAAAAAAATAACATTCAGCTTTGTTAGGAAGGTCAAGACCTCTGAGGTGGAAAAGGCCAACAGTCATTTTAAGCTCACTATGCTAAGCTAATTTTGTGTTAACAGTTCTTTTAATAATATTAGAACAAAAAGATGGTAAATGTGGCTATTATACCACAACTGAAGACCTAATTGTACCCTATTCAAGTGCCAAGTCGTATGTGTCTGCATCATTTCATTGTGATGATGCACATAACATCATCAAGTGATGTTAAAAGCCAGTATGT